ATGGAAATAGGACGTGTACTCAGTACGATAGACAGCACAAACGAGGAGGCTTGTGGAAACGGCCGGGTATATGCAAGAGGGACTGTCATAGGCTGATGGGTGGCAAGTCAGCATAAAGACGGTGTGAACAAGGGGCCAAGAGCTTGATGGTTAACTTGTCACGCGTTTGTGGCATGATGTCCTGACGGCCCGGGCAGGATACGCAGCAGATAAGAGTTGGGAGTGAGCCCTGAAGGAGGAGGTAGGAGTTTGTGGATGTGAATGGGGGCAGGAAGAATTGTAGGTGTGGCAGTTGGGCATGGCCAGCGCATTAAACTTACCTGGCATCGGGTTCAGGGTGATCAGCGATGCTCTGACCCCAGGTGGAGGCTCGCCATTGCACTCCGGCGTGTTGAAGCCTGCGACGGACTCTAATCGGGTTCGCTCGGGTGTGTAGTTTTTGCCAGTGGGGAGCCCTCAGGCATCCCTCTCATCTAACCAAATCTAGCAACTCCATCCTCCCTCCCACCACCTGACACATCTCCGCTCTCTAAGTCTCTCCGCCGCCTCTGCTGCCTACACTCAGCGCCGCTGCCGCCAACAATCTCCCCGCCACCTCACAATCCACCACCCTCCTACCGCTGGTCACTAACACTTCCCATCTACATCCTACACCTCCACTCCATCCAACCTACATTACTAGGCTAAATCCAGCGCCGCACACCCACTATGCGTCTAGCCCTCACACCCTCACACTGGCCAGCAGCACTGCACACATTCACAGCCTCAATCAACTCGCATTACTGCCCCTTTCTCTCCTCCACATCACACATCCCGCCAATAGACCCCTACCATCAGCACCACAGCAGTCCCCGCCCCACCCCACTACACCGTCATTGCACGCTCCTGCCCCAACACAGCCCGCCTCCTCTGCACCCTGCCCTCACACTAATTACCTGCCCACACCATGACTCCCACCTCATCATTGCTCACATACTCAGCATCATCGTCTCATCACAGCCACACCATCTTCCGAGGAGGCGATACTTCTGCTTTAACGGTCTGTCCTGCAGAATGCATGTGGATCGCGCGTCCACTCTCCCAAGACCTCAGCATTCTGCATGTACCCTTGCATGCATGCGTTGAGAGACCGAGGGGGTGAGAGAATGAAGTGAAGACTGACGCCAAGTCTAGCCTTCTGGCATGTCTTCTCCTGTGACACAACTATCCGATCAGTGAATGTGAGTAGACATGGAGTGAATAGGCAGACGGACAGTTGACGCTCTGCGACCGAGGGCATTCACACCTCGTGCTGCCACTGCAACAGCATGACTTTGGGAAGAGGGCCTAACCTGACGTCAATGCTGCCAATGTGGTGCTTACTGTGATGCAGTGGAGGCAGGGCTGGGTTGTGCCTGAAAGTGCCTCTGTCGCGGTCACAGCCGTCGCCGCAGGCTGTAGGAGGCATGACCATCTGTGCCATTGTGCATCTCAACATTACCAGGACTACACTATGAAGCATGTTTAATGAGCCTACTGAGGGCTAGTGAGTAGGGATCCGGAGGTGTGTAGTAGTAGTTGGGAGAGGAGAGATGGTAATGCGAGGCAAGGCAGTGAGAGAAAGACGCTGAAAGGGATGATAGTGAAGAGGTGGATAAGAGTTGGGAGTGAGCCCTGAAGGAGGAGGTAGTAGTTTGTGGATGTGAATGGGGGCAGGAAGAATGGTAGGTGTGGCAGTTGGGCATGGCCAGCGCATTAAACTTACCTTGCATCGGGTTCAAAGTGATCAGCGATGCTCTGACCCCAGGTGGAGGCTCGCCATTGCACTCCGGCGTGTTGAAGCCTGCGACGGACTCTAATCGGGTTCGCTCGGGTGTGTAGTTTTTGCCAGTGGGGAGCCCTCAGGCATCCCTCTCATCTAACCAAATCTAGCAACTCCATCCTCCCTCCCACCACCTGACACATCTCCGCTCTCTAAGTCTCTCCGCCGCCTCTGCTGCCTACACTCAGCGCCGCTGCCGCCAACAATCTCCCCGCCACCTCACAATCCACCACCCTCCTACCGCTGGTCACTAACACTTCCCATCTACATCCTACACTTCCACTCCATCCAACCTACATTACTAGGCTAAATCCAGCGCCGCACACGCACTATGCGTCCAGCCCTCACACCCTCACACTGGCCAACAGCACTGCACACATTCACAGCCTCTATCAACTCGCATTACTGCCCCTTTCTCTCTTCCACATCACACATCCCGCCAATAGTCCCCTACCCTCACTCCCACTACCCCAACCCCCTACCTCACAACACCGTCATTGCACACTCCTGCCCCAACACAGCCCGCCTCCTCTGCACCCTGCCCTCACACTAATTACCTGCCCTTGCACTCACCATGACTCCCACCTCACCATTGCTCACATACTCAGCATCATCGTCTCATCACAGCTAAATCACCTTCCGAGGAGGCGATACTTCTGCTTTAACTGTGTGTCCTTCAGATTTATTTTGGTTTATCCGTTATTTTTTATTAAATTTTCGACTGTGTATTTTTTTATAATCAATATATCGATTATTTATGCTGTCCTTTGGACGTTTCTTTGGTTGATACATTTTGTTTTTTAACTTTTTGCGATTTTTCCCCTGTATGTTTGCTGGGAATGTTTCATATTTCTGGGGCTCTTTTGGGGTGTTTTATAAGGTACGTTTTCGCTTTATGTTAATTCTGCCGTACGCGAGTTTATTCTTAGATGATTTTTGACATATATATTATATTTTGCGTTTTTTAATCTCCAAAACTGTGTATTTGATTATAAAATCGTATTAATAAATATTAAATTTTGCTGCCTGCGTCGAGCTTCAATTAGAGGGATTTTTGACATGAGAAGTAGGCTGTGGAATTGTCAGCTTCGGTGATTGTGATGGTGGATCTGCTATTGGTGGGCGCTCTGGTTGTTGGTGTGTGGGCTGGTCTGTGTATAGTATGTGTTCATAATGTCCTGACTGTGATGGTGCTCGTGGCGTCGGAGTTTTTCCGGGGATAGGCATGGTGTGTGTGCTGGATGCGCTAGACTTGTCGGGGCTTCGCCCAACCCCGCTCTCGTTGATACGCGTGTGGCCAAATAGTTTCACGCGTTGTATGCATTTGCGACGGCAGTTTGGACAGTGGAGGCGGATGCGGCGAGTGTAGGTCGATGCTCCAGGCACTGATTTCTTAGTCTCCGTGCGATTGATTCGGAAATTACCGACCAGGCTGATGTGTGAGGTGAAGGTGCGATCGCGATGAGGTCACATGTAGTGCAGGTCCTCACCACTGGTGTTGACGGTGGTGTTGGTGCTTATTGATGTGTAAAGCTTGTCCGTGATTTTGATGGTAATGGCATACGCCACAGCGACAGAAGTTGAGCCGGCGGAGGAGGAGGATAAAGTGGTGGTTAGGGAGGGGGATAAACGTTAGTTGACGTAGATAGATAGATAATTTTTATTAAAGACCCGTCGGGGTCCAATCAAAGCAAGTTAAAATAAATCTGCATGCGAGTTTTAGACGAGGTAGGCCGAATCTTTACAAAATGCAATTCATAGTTTCTGAATTAGTAGTCCATTGAGAAACATGATGATTGAGGGGTAAAAAAAATCCTTACAAAAAGTTAAAAATGACTGAATTAATTTTAAAGGAGAAAAAAAACATCAATAAAAATAATTCATTGGTATTTTGGCAGATTTTGAATAATTCATATTGACCCAACTGTGAAAAACTCGGTGCCTCGGTGGGATTCGAACCCACGCAGTAAGGGGGAAGGCTTTAGTACAGCCAACGCTCTAACCACCTGAGCTACGAGGCCCCGCCGGACGACGCGAGTTTTATCACACTTGGGTCAAGTTACCCGCCCAACCTACTGCAACGTCTGGAATCCACCAAATCTGATACAGTAAGTTGACTGCCCAAGCAGGATTTCCTAAGTAATTCACCTAGAATCCACCAGATGACTACTAGGCTCACGTAATTNAAGTGTGATAAAACTCGCGTCGTCCGGCGGGGCCTCGTAGCTCAGGTGGTTAGAGCGTTGGCTGTACTAAAGCCTTCCCCCTTACTGCGTGGGTTCGAATCCCACCGAGGCACCGAGTTTTTCACAGTTGGGTCAATATGAATTATTCAAAATCTGCCAAAATACCAATGAATTACGTGAGCCTAGTAGTCATCTGGTGGATTCTAGGTGAATTACTTAGGAAATCCTGCTTGGGCAGTCAACTTACTGTATCAGATTTGGTGGATTCCAGACGTTGCAGTAGGTTGGGCGGGTAACTTGACCCAAGTGTGATAAAACTCGCGTCGTCCGGCGGGGCCTCGTAGCTCAGGTGGTTAGAGCGTTGGCTGTACTAAAGCCTTCCCCCTTACTGCGTGGGTTCGAATCCCACCGAGGCACCGAGTTTTTCACAGTTGGGTCAATATGAATAACAATAATGACAGAAAAATGCGAGCCGGACTGGCCTGTATGTGGCGGTATATAACGGAATGTTGTCTGTCATCGTCAGGGTAGCAATAAATCTCAGCCTTGTGGGGTACGTATGCGGGTCAGACAGGACTGGCTTACATGTGACACTGTATACGGAATTCACATTAGAGATCGTCTGGGCCGGATTGATACGCCGCATGAGACTATTCGCTTCAAAGTAGCCAGACGAGCGTAACCCGGATGCGATCGGCCACAGCAAGCTTCCAGCTCAGCCGAGCAGTGAGGAAGGGAGGTACGACCGAACTACTATTAGACAGTGAATACTGAGGGTTCCGCCGTGAGCATCGACAGACCGCATGAGGTCGGAATGTGGGAGATGACATCAAAAACCGCAAAAATTGTCGCTATGGGGGAGGAGTGATAGCAGTGGATTTAGAAACCAATTCAAAACAGGGGTTTCTAATGATATAATTAAGAATTACCACTAGATCTACCATTAAATCCCAGGAGGACCCTTCTCGAAGTCAAGAATATGAGTGTTCGGGAATGAGACCGTTAACAGTGCCCTTATGCTTTCCGGTGTAAGATGTTTGCGTAATTACGACATGAATACCAGTAACTTAGGCGATAATCTAATTTCAGGCGAAAGATTATTCCAAAGGAAGGCATATTTAGAAGCGAAGCAGAGGAAGCGCTTAGATGTAGTACAAAGAGGCGGCGGAATCACCATGCAGGAGTTGCGCGTGGCATAAGACCGATCTCTCGGAGTGAGAGTGTCAATGTGCGGAAGACTGGTTCCGGTTCACTGCAGTGCGTCTCAACACGCCGAAATAGCGTTCCTATGCAACTGCGTTTGTGGCAGATTGGGTGGTTACTGTTGAAGTTCAGAATTTGCGTCGTGTTCGTTGCTTTTCTGAACACTTTGGTCTTTAGGCCACCGCAATCTTTGCGACAGACGAGGACATCAAGGAATGCCAGCTGGTTATTCTCTTCCTCCTCCATCGTAAATTGTATGTCCGGGAAGACGCTGTTGAGACGTTCTTTGAACGTTAGCACCTGGTCCCGTTCGATGACGACGAAGGTATCGTCCACATACCGAGCCCAGAATTTCGGTCTGTGGTGTTGGAAGACCAGCGACTCCAACCGCTGTAGGACCGCCTCGGCGATGAATCCCGAAATCGGCGAGCCCATTGGTGTTCCCTTCACTTGCTCGTAGATTGTTCCGTCAAACGTGAAGTACGTCCTGAGACAGAACTTTAGGACCTGAAGGACTTGGGCGTGTCCGAAACGATTCTCCGTTTCATCGTATTTGTTTCGTAGGAGTAGCTGGACGGTCTCGATTGCCAGATCCTGGGAGATAGAAGTAAAGAGGGACGTGACATCAAAAGATACCATGACCTCATTTGGCAAGAGACTTACTCCTTTAAGCTTCTCCAGGAATTGCGTTGACGAACAGACAGTGGTGTCCGAATCCGCGGTCAGAAATTTGAGGCGCCGAAACAGCCATCTTGCCAGTCCGTACGTTGAAGTGCCTTTGAGCGATACAATGGGCTGGAGAGGAGCGCCCTCCTTGTGAACCTTTGGGAGACCATAGAATCGGACCAAGGCCGGTTATTGGGCTCTCGCCATGCGTCTGTCGGTCGGTGTTATTGCACCCGAGTTCTCCAGTGCCAACAGTGTTGCATTAATTTCGCGTGTCAGCGTTTTTACGGGTTTAGTTTCACATGGGACATAGAACTGGCGATCCTCCAGTAGGTTTTTGGCCTTCTGTAGGTAGTCTGTTCTGTCCAGTACGACGGTGGAACGCCCCTTGTCCGCGGGCACAATGACAATGTCCTTGTCGGCCTTGAGTTCTCTTAGTGCATCGCGTTCGACCTTTGTGAGTGTCTCGCGCGGCTTGTGAGTCATAAGGAGGGACGAAATATTGTGTTGCCAGCATCCAACACGGGTGATGAGATGTCAGCAATTAACAACTTGCATGCCGGCCATCAAGCAATTAGCGCACCAGCGGGCAACAATCCTTGATGAAGGGAGCACGGTTAATTGCTGTAGGTATGCGGTAGCATGGCGACCGCATCCTATAAATACTGCGACTTCCTGTACACGAGCCACCCTTTTCTGCAACTGTCTCTGAGGATGGATTCAAGAGAGAATCCGAAACGTCAGGCGAATAAAGCCATTGTTCCAGCGATAACTTCTTTTGATCAACTAGTTCCTGGAACTCGCATCTTCGCTTGTATCGGCAGAATGACAGTTGTTAACCAGCTACCGCGTTCAAAGGTGACTGACAGTGCCCAAGGGGCGCTACAATAAACCTATTTTTTTCTATTCTACCGGTATCCTTTATCAGATTTGGCGAGCACTGTTTGTCTTCCGTCTGTTTGTTATGCGCTTTCTTCGAAAACGCATCTAAGACAGATATTATAACATTTTAAAGGGTTGGATGGTGACTGCCCAAATCGGAGATGATTTGGTCTCACGATCTGTTTACTAATGTTCAGCTTCTGCTCACCTGATATTCTGTTCCACTCGGGACTTCGTCCTTGCCATAAACACGGACTGAGGCGTAGGTTCATCCAGTGAAAATTCTATGCGGACTGTCCGGTAGATATAGAAGAAGTTCCTTCGTCGCTTTCATTTTACCTGAACAGTTCCATGCTAATCGTCCTTCCTACTTGCGGGTATGACCATAATAAGTATTTAGCTTCGCTCCAACAAATGCTTCCATTCTATTTTTAGAGATGACCTGGTTCCATATCAAGTATGTGCAGACTTTACTTTCCATTCCTTTGCGCCCGTTAAAATTTTTCCGTGAGAGATTGTAACATTCGGGCCACTCGAGGGTAAGGTCTTGTCGTCTTCACCTTCTAGGCGACAGTCCGTATAGGCTTCCTTGGTGCTCCTACCTGGTCGAGAATCTCCTCGGCGAGAACCCTGAAAATTAGCGCGAATCGAGTTCATCATCTGCAATAGCAAGCGAGCGCAGATAGAATAGTTTGACGGTGGAAAAAGTTTATTGAAAGGTTTATATCAGCTGAGGTAATTAGTCCTGTTCCGTTCTCTCGCCGTCTTCTTCCTTACGGGCCGTCCCTCGACTGGCCCCTCACTCTCTTCCACGGCGGTCACTAAAAAAATTTAATTTAATTTTACTTAGTTTAATTTAGTAAATGCCAGTTTACAGGCATTGTCAAGGGAAGCGTTTAAACACAATCACGACCAGCAGTGAAAAAAACTCCTAAAGTATAAAAATATATTTGATGTTGGTCGTTATGTTTTGCAGGCTTTAGGAGAAATAAAACTGCTGGCGGTAGATTTTCGACCGTCAAGAAGTGGGGGGGGGGTGGTTTGCACGGTATCGGAGATCATCGGACGTCCATTCCTTTCATGAAGTTGGGGATAGTCAACGTAGAGACGTTGATGAGCAGCTGGTGAGACCGGCCACAGTGTTCAGAGACCACAAACGCCATCGATACGGTACAGTCGATCAGTAGATTCAGCACCCAAAATTTGTGGGAGCTTTTCTGAATGCAAAAATCGAGTAATAGTTCTCTTAAATAAAGGAAAATTTTGCAGAGTTTTCACACTCATGGGTAGTTTATTCCAAATAGCAATTGCATTTACAGAAAAGAACCGACGATATTTAACAGTACGTGCCAGAGGCAGAAATAAGAAGACCTCACGGTGACTGTTACGTCGTGGGTGGATATGATGTCTTAAAGAGGTGAGTGGGTTAAATGTGTGATTATATAAGAGTTTAAATAGCAAAAATAGTCCCTTTTGTAATCTGCGGAACCATAAAGTATCAAGGCCCGTAAGCCGGCAACGTTCTTGGTAAGACAAATGTCGGTGTTCCGGGGTTAAAATTCTCTTGGTAGAAAAGTGTTGAACGGATTCTATTGTCTTCCGCTCAGTAGCACGCATGAGGCTAAATGAAAACGAACAGTATTCCAGACCAGGTCTAACGTTCATGTTGTAAAGGCGCATTGTGATATCCCTAGTTTTAAAGTTTCGGAGGATAAACCCGGTCGTTCTGCGTGCTTTGGAGACTATCAAGGCACAGTGGTCCGAGAGATTGAGACTCTTGGAGTATGATATGCTCATATCCTTAGTTATCCTGGGCATATTTATAGAGTGACCTTCAATATTTAGTTGAGGTTGGTGGTCGTCGCCAACCACCATGACTGAGCACTTATGCCAAGAAAGAGAAAGGCGCCATGTGCGGCACCACTGGGCGAAAGCCTGTAGATCGCTCTTTAGGAGCTCAACCACGATGTCACGATCTGCCGGCTTATATCGATATGCAACTTTAAGATCATCGACATACATGAAAGGCTTACCATTCTGAAATAAATCGGGTACACCATTAACGAAAAGGCAAAATAAAAGTGGACCGAGTACACTTACCTGAATGACTCCACTCCTCACACGTGTGGGGTTGGAGATGGTATTGGAAAACATAACTCGCTGTGTACGAGTGCCCAGGTAAGAGGATATAAAATTCAAAAGTTTGCCACCTATTCCGAAAGAGGACAGTTTCAAGAGAAGAAGAGCATGGTCAACACGATCAAAAGCCTTAGTGAAATCGAAATATACTGTGTTAAGTGCAAAACCATTGTCCCTAGATTGGAGAACATAGTCAAAGAAAGAGAGTTGACAGGTGTCACAAGATCGAGCTTTGAGGAATCCATGCTGAGCAGCAATCAGTAGGTTATTCACTGTTAAGTGACACATAATTTTTTCTTTGATCAATGTCTCTAAGATCTTCGAAACTGCGGGAAGGGTGTTCATTGGCCGAAAGTCATCAAATGATGTAGATTTGCCATGCTTAGGAATGGGCAAAATGTGTGATTCCTTCCACAAGGTAGGATGGGTTTCAGTTTCAAGAGCAAGATTTTTCTAGAGAACAGTTTCGAGACATTTAACGAATGATTTTCGCTAAACTGGCCCTCTTCGGCTAGCTGCTTGTCTTCAGACAATCTCTTAGCTCGATCAAAAATATCACAAATCAAGGGTAGAACAGAAACATCGTTCTGCAGATGGAAACAACGATAAAGCCTGCGCAATCTGCGACGAAAGGGTAAGGGTAGGAAAACCTCATCCCCAACATTAATAATTTTCTTACGGTGGACAAAACGAGAAATAAGCCGATCCAAAATTTCGTACAGATTTGCAGTGCAAACATTTACATCCGAACTAAGGAAGAAACCAGTCCAGTCGTAGGAATTAAGGTGTGTTAATAAATCGGTTGAGCGAGTTGATCGGAAATTGCGGAAAAAGCTATACTTTGGGGACGACGTTTTGTCAGCCTCGAATTCCAACGTTGAAACAACTATGTCATGGTCTGAGCCCCCCAGTGGGCCTGGGGATGACACCGACGATGGCATGCAGCCTCTACATAAAATTAGGTCAAGTATGCATGAGCCTCTGGTGGGAAAATCGACAAACTGAGTCCACATCCCAACATCTACAGCCTCAAGAAAGTCTTCGAAACTTCATGGGCCTGAAGGCGGAGACCAGCGGACTTCAGGGAGATTAAAGTCACCCGCAACCAATTGATACTTAAAGCTTAAGTCGGCCGCAGCATGAAATGCCTGTGAGAGTAAACGATCAAAATTGTAGTTGGCGTTGGGAGGGCGATAGACGCAGCCAACGAGTAAGGAGAATTTATTTTTTAGTGCAAACTGGAGCCAGCAGCTGCCTTCTACTGCGGAAAAATGCGGGAGGTCCAACGGCAAAAATGTAAGTGTTTGCTTAACGTGGACGCAGCTGCCCCCACCACGGCTATCTTGGCGATCATTTCGAATGCAATTGTAGCCTAGAAGAGAGAGTTCGGAGTCAGCTACTGAGGCTGATGCCCACGTCTCAGTTACTAAAACAATATCTGGACAATGGACGAACATCAGAGTCTGAAGCAAAGGCATCTTATTAAGCAAGGATCTGGCAGTTAGAACAAAAAGTTTGAAGGGAAAGGCTGTTTGTTTCTGAGGGAAGTGGGCTACATCGTCCAGTTCTGGGCTGCCCACGGAGCAAACGGTCCGGATGCAACCATCCGGTTTTGCAAAAAATTTTGTGGCATCGAAAACTTCTGACGTGGATAAAAAGGGCTAGGACTTGGGGGAAGGAAATGACGGGCAGGTGAACTGGTAACCATTGTTAGCTAACTTATTTTCAGCTGGAAATCCGCGGGGCAGATACTGCAACGTATTCCCGCCGGAACGTAACTGAGGATCGGATGAATTAACTGATTCAGTATGGACATTATCATGAGGAAAAAAATTGGTAAAACGGCCGTGGAGGAAACAAGTTAGGGGGTGGGGGACGCATTGTTTTCATTAGAGCAGCAGTTCTATTAAACGGCGGAAAAATCGGCATATTCGACCTAATTGCCTCGATATGAGGGCTGGGGGGCATTTGCGAACCCGCTACGTTTTGAGTCGGGGTATTTTAGGCACTGTTAGTCGATTGTAGAGGAAAAGATTTTATAATGGTGCTGGATTTATTGGGTGTCCGAGTGGCTGAGACAGCAATTGGATTTGCCTTTGACTTCGACACATGCTTAGGCTTACTAGGGGTTGCTGGGGGAGTCGATAGAGGCGTGTTTATACCAGGCTTGGTGGTGTGTTTAAAGAGGTCAGCATTAAAAGTAGTCGAACTCCCTACGGATTTGACTATGCCGTGACTTGCAGATGCCGCAGATGGTGTTGTAGAGGACTTATTCAGGCTTACAGTAGGTGCCATTATCTTGGTTCTGGTTTTTGCCGAATTTAATTTATTCAGTCTTCGCTGCAGGTGTGTGAGGTCTGGCGAAACGGAGCAGCGCCATTTACGGCAGAAGTCTCTAGTCATCTCCCTACTCGACAAGATAAAATTGACTTCTATCATGGAGAAAAGGGTAACTAGTATCGGCG